GAGTCAAAATGATGAAAATGTAACGCCCAGCAAGAGCAGATGCATTTTCACAGTAATTAGACACTATGAACCATCCAAATGACCGCGACCCGAAAGGAAAAATGTCCATGGAAGATGAAGATGAACCATCCAAATGTTGAGTATTGGTTCGTGTTTGGAGGTCATATCGAATACAGCATAAAAAACGGTTTACCAATACACAACGCAAACAAATCAGACAATCTTGTGACCGATGATTAACCAGTACCGGTACTGATCAGTCATCCAACAGAACAAATTTATTTGTGCTGTGTAAAAATAAACCGCACTTTATGCTGCTTTCAACCTATGATCTAACCAGCAGAGTGAAATCTGGTACCAGTACGTGACTTGAACAACAGAATGTACAAACAATCTGAAAAACTTTCCAAACTGACTCTGGGCAAGATTTGTTCTATGATAACACAAAAAACGAAGCTATTTTACGTTCAGGTTTTAAAAAAATAGTTAATTCATAGAAACTGAAAATCTCTTAAAAACGCTCGATTAGCTTTTACGGATAGCCAGAAAAACATGCAACTTTGAACTTTTATCTATCTGTAAATTACTGATACTGGATTCACACAGCGAAAACGAGGTAACTTCTTACTTTACACCGATACTGCGGTAGAGTAAGACCGATGGAAGTAATTACATCGGTTATACCGCAACAACGCATCGCCTATTTGTTGCCAGTCGCCTAAAGGGAACATTCCGACAGTTTCATGGTATTTGAATGTGCGCATTTCTGAGCTGGGCTGAACACGGTCTTATTCGATCGACAGTAAAATCTGATACTATCAGTAGATAAAATGTGAAATATAATTCCCATATTCCTGGGTAGCTACCACGAATGGCAGCATTCTAATTTCGTGGGGACATACTATTTTTAATTAGTGATAAGGAGTTTAAACGACGAAAATGGGGTAATATTTACTTTACACAGAATATTAGCGTATTTTTTAAACTACCGTAGTATCGGCGTACAGTAAGAAACTATCGTTTCGCCGTATAAATCTGATGTTACTAATACATATGTTAAATTTACGTCATAATTGAAATGTTGTCATTAAAGTTAGCTGCCACAGAGCACCGAGGAAATATTTGATCTTACTTGGCCTATTTTCTTCCGTCATTTCACAAAGCTGTTTACATCCATACGATGCAATTTTGTATGAAGACACTGGAAATACAGATAGGATAATTGAATTAAATCGAGCTGTGAGCAACTATTTTCATTCGATATAAGATTGTGTTCGTAATGTATTATTACGTACAGAAAAGCCATTAATAATCAATAAATAACCGTTAATAAGTCTGATTTCACAAACTCTGATTTCTATGGGATTTAACTTTGATAAAAAAATTCTAACAAGTGGTGCAGAATTTTTAACTGTTTCGTAAATCGGCGGCTTTTACACGTTATTCAGATAAGCCAGTGACCTAAGGTTCAAAAAATAACGTAAATTAAGGTTAAGATAGAACAAATGAGTAAATAAAGTGAGATCATAAGCGAAGGTCAAGGTGATTATGAATCACCAGGAGGGCGGCGTTTACGTTGGGAAGTTACTTGCAACCTATTGCAAAGGAGGGATTTCCTGACTTTACATCGATACTACGGTAGTGCAACACAGAGAGGTTATTAAAACCGGGTTTTGCACTAACCTTGCGCCGGTCCGTTGCTTTTAGCCGTCCAGGGGCACCATTATTAGTCAGGGTACGGCTTCACGGTATTTTAACGTCTGCAGCGCGTATATCTACACCGCGTCAATGAGTCTGTATACGCGAACTGACGTATGTTATGGCAGAAAAATGAATGCTGTCACAAAGTAGCTTATTCAAACGAAAGCGTCACAGATACAAACGTTATGTTCACTACTCCATGCACTCGAGTTCAGCGGGGAAGATTTGTGTCATGTTGGACATTGTTATTTAAGTTTTTGTCGTATTTCGGCCAAACAGCCACTGAGGGTTTAACACAAATCCTAGTTAGATCAGTAATAAAAACTATCAGTATTTATCAGAATATCAATAATTAAAAGGTTTATAAATGTAACCAGCGAATAATATGCAGTGTAAGAAGCGAACGATCTGTATAAAAATATCTTAGTCAAGCCCACTGAACACCTACCGTTGCAGCAACGAGTTAGCTCCAATGACACACGTCAAAGCCATTCCTAAAAGGAATAAGAGAATAAAGTATTTGCATGCAGAAATGAAGAACGTAAAAAGCAGTGTTGTCTGAAAAGGCAAATATGCGTTCAAAAAATCTGTGAAAATTAAATTTTACTACATGCGGTATCGTAGTTTAAACAATCGTTGAGTAAAATGTAAGCCAAGTTTTTAACTCTTATGCTCGACGAATGCTCGGAAAAGTACTGAACGATCAAGTATAGTTCTTGAGTCTTGATATCTAAAAAATAAACAAAAAATAAAGCAGAATTAAAATCTTTAAGCCCATACCAGACATACGTTCGTCGTTCAGCAGTAAAATTAACGTAGTCAACGCCGAAACGACCGTTTCCTCGTTTTGGCTAAAATTTGCACGTACAGTACTGAACATGATATGAGAAAAAGAAACATCACACCTGTGCAAGCAGTTCATGATGTCGTCTGCACCAGTGTCAAGAATGCAAGTACGAGCCGGACCATATGAAACTATGTTGCACAAACCGCCGATGCCGAATTCGACAATTTTCGAGTCGCTGTTCGAAATACATTCTTAAATATCGACTACAGGTAACTGGAAAATGAACAATGCCTGATTAGTACCAATAAACAGGCTTGGCACCTCCAATCGACAGAGATACTCGAAGTTGAAGGGGTCATAAGCGAAGTTGGCCAGGTTTGCCACAACTTGCCTTTTCATAGCTGAAAAGAGTCTTTTAGTGAAGCAGTAAGAAAGTCTGGTTATTAAGAGTGACTGAAAACTTTGCCATCAACAAGAGCGACTCGCTAATACCTCGGAATTTCCAACGTTAACAAGCCAGAATGGCGAATCTGAAGCAATTGCCTGCATTAACTAGCACTTAATAAACCCATGGTGAAATCTTTTCGTAGTGCGATCCATCTTTGGTACAGAAAGAAAGATTCATAGGAATTCAATAAACAGCTAGACCAGAGAAAAAGGTACATAACTTATGGTGCTCGGATCGTCAAAACCAGGGAAATGCAATACACAAACATGATTCAGATGCATATTATTTCAAGTTGTCACCCTCCGTCGACAATGACATTTCCTGTTTCGATTATTGGTAATTAGCAAATCTAAAGCAAACATTACACTTCACTACTTAGGATTTTGTTCATCCTTTATATCAATTTCATCTTCCAGCAAATTTTATCCATATATTTTAATAATCAACAAAACTATTAAATACCTTTATGAAAGTAATAGTCGTGCTACAAAATAACTTTCCGTGGGATGGGGATCTGATAATAATAGCAATCATGACATAATCAAGAAGGTTTCTTCATGTCTGTTAAGGAACAGCCTCATTCTACTGTGACAGCTACCAGTCTACCTCTTTTCCCAAGCTACCTTCTTCTCGAAGCATCCTGTTTGCAGCCCACTGCAAGAAATGATTCTTAAATACGCAATGTTGTGCTACCTCAGAATCTTTGTCACGTCATTACACATATTTTGTATCACTAGTCAATAACACCCACGTAACGGTTTTCTGTACCAGCGCGTTGCAATAGAATAAAAGTTACAACCCACGCAAAAGCGCAGACCTACGTCACTCTTGTCCATAAGCATTGCTCGTCAGCTGAGCGGCTGGAATTAACTGTCTTTACGTGAGTAGCTTAAGAGAATAAATTATGCTTATTTCCCAATTTCCCTATCATAATTTCTCATCCTACGATAGCTTGCCCAGAGGATACTGAAGTCGTCAAATATGAAAACCTAGGTGAACGAAATCGTGAAACAGTTACCTCCTTGTTTTTTTGAATCTCTAACACTACAGCGGACACCGCTTTCAGAAAGAAACAGCTATTCCATAGAGGGTCAAATCATTTAACGCTTATTGTACACTCTAGTCAATGCTGCACTCCTTTTTTTTCTTGTCCGTTCCTTAACAAATGACCTCTGTATTATAAGAAATGGCTGATTTCTGTCAGACGAGAGGGTTGATGGTTAAGATTCGTTTTCTAGTACCGTCCATTCCGGATTCTACACTCAGATGGCTCGAATTTCATTCGTTTCCGGGTGGCAGACTTTCAGCATCACCTGAATATTCATTTAATGTTTGAAGCTATCTCCCTCAGGTGAGAACATGAGAAATTCTTTCCTTCGAAAGAATAAACGAAAAACTTTACCTGTTTTCCTCAAATACAAATATGACAATGTCCTTTAATAAATTCACCTCTGCTTCAAGCCAATGTCCTTCTCAAAAATATATTAATGTATAGGAATATCAAGAAATGTCTTTTTTACAACAGTTTTGCTAAACGATCAGTATGGATGCATGGCAATAGTACAATCGCCAAGTGATTTCTTCGCAATTCTTCGAACTTTAAGAGTTGAACAGTGAGGTAAGATTTTAGGAGACTTAGAGCGAAACAAACACAACTCTAAAATCTCGTACTGTTTTGATAAAAAAACGTACTGTACTACCCGTTTGACAATTAAATTTAAGTCTTACGGTACCAGTCGAGGTAGCCTGTTGAAATTCATTGACTAACTTCTCCAGAAATCGAAAACGTTCGATCTTTGACCCATGGCTTTTCCGCAGGACTTCGCGAAGCGAAGAAAACATAAAAATCAGCGTCGTCGATGAACTAAAATACAGCTAAAACTTAATTCAAAGTAAAAAATATTATAAACCGAAAAACAAAAATTTGCATTACAAACAAAAACATACAAAGCAAAGCTATACAAATATTTTATTCCCAATCTCAAAACAAGACAATATGCATTATGGAACGAATAGAATGAAAAAGCATCTTTTGGATTCACAGCCTGCAGCAAATCATCGCTTTCATCGAAGAAGAGCTTGGACAACGGCGTTTGCGTCCAAATTCTTCAGATCTCTATATGTCTGCCCGGTGCCAACAAACACGATCGGTTGACCAGTAATATATGCCATTGAGACGGCAGCACCAACCTAAAGCGAATGAAAACATGGGATGATTAAAGGCTGAACCATCATAAGCGCGTAGTTTGCATTACGTTGTCGTGCAAATATACCTATGGCTGTAATTTTTACTTCACTGCATACATTTCGTACACTGATTATACTTGTACTCCTGAATCAGGAGGGACCAGCGCGTTCTGCAGCCAAAAATCCATCAGAGACCGCGACTGTTCAGTCGGTAAAGCATCGGATAAATAAAGATAAACAAAGAACTCGCGGGATCATGCCTGGTACCTCGAATTTCTTCCTCCTGCGGCGGCAGAGTACCACTCTGTGGAGAGAAAACAGAATACTATACTGTTTGTAACACAGTTATTGGAAAATCTGCCCTTAAAAAATAAGGACTCTGGCTGTCGACATGGAAATTGAGATCGGAGACTCGCGACTGACATTACTAAAAGGAGGACGTCAAAAAATGGCATTTAATCCTGACATTCCAGCGATTATAAACTTTCGTTTGTCTCTTCCGTTACAGCAAACAGACGGTCATAAATGTTGGCAAATTTAACATGATCACAATAGGGCACCATGCTCTTTGTACTGTTCGCAACATTATGACATTATAACATTCGCCGCTCAGAGGGTAGCAAGGCCTTATGGAAACGTTTCGCCAAGTTTGGATTTCAACAGGAGTTTCTGACATCTCAGATATTGTCAAATAAATTTCACCGATCTGCTATGTCTCTTTAGTTCATTATCAAATTGTTTCTTACGACAACAAACTTGCAATGAACGTTGCAATCTGCATTTCAAATATCAACCTCTAAGCGC